AACCTCCTTCAGTATGCGGGGGCGAGCGAAGCCGGAGATGCACGGCGAAGGAGCAGCCGAAGAACTCGCGGACTCCTGTTGGCCAGCGTTCCCGCCGAGGCCCTCGGACAACACTTCCTCTGCCATCCGCAAGAGCGTCCAATCCAGAACCGCCGCGCGAACAGGCCAGGCAGGATCTCGAAGAACAGCAGCCGGAACAGGGCGAGGCTGACCAGGGATCGGCCGCGCCAGCCGACGGCCGAAGGCAAGTGCCCGATGATGGGACAAGTGAGAAACCCAGGTCAGGGGGGCGCAGTGCAGGGTCGTGTCTAACTGGATGGATACATGAGCACTCAAATATATACTGTCGATCCTCGATCGGCATCCGGCGGCGTCATGAGTGGCCTGCGTCTGGTGGAGCTCGTGGAGACCGCGCCTCCAACAGAAGTCCCCCCGCCAATGATCTTCATCTGCCTCGTCTCTGACGTTGGCCAGCTGGATGCGGACAGCCCCCCCCCACCACCCAGTTGAAGCCCCCGCCGGTGACGCTCAGCACCTGGCACTTCGGGCTCATCTTCGCGTTGGCGCGCCCCCGCATGAGCTGCCTCTGCATCTTCATCTGCACGTTGGCCCCCTCATCCGTCGACGCGCGCACGAGGCCACAGGTGCCCGCGGCAAAACGCCGTGTCGAGCGCTCCAAAGGGGCCTCGTAGTCGCAGCACAGCGGCACGCCCTGGAACGGGCTCGTCCCAGACGGGGTCGGGGCCAGATGCCGCAGGGAACTGTCCCGGAGGAAGATGCCCACCCCTGCCCTGGACGAGGTGCCCGTCGACCACATCGCCGTGAAGACTGGCGACGGCCGCCAGGCGGCCTCGTCGCCTTCCGCGACGTGCGCCTCGGACAGCAGCAGTCGCATCACATATTTGGCCTTCGCGAAGTGTTTCCTGACGTCCACTGCGAAGAAAGCCTGGGAATTCCAAGCAGCCGTCATGCCGATGAACTGGGCGAGCGGCTGGAATTGCCGGTGAAGGCGTCGGCGTCGCTGGAGCTGGCGCCAACGCGTCACACCCTGTAGGGGCCGCGACATGCTGGCGCTTCAGCCGCGGAGCTGGCGCCGCGGGTGGCAGACTGGGAAGCTGGCATGATCGCTGTACGGCAGCGCGCACGGCAGCACAATGAGGAAGGTCCTGATGCCCCACGGCCGCCTGGAGCTGCAGCGGCGCCACCTGCGAAGGGAACGGTATCACATGATCGCTGCACGGTCTGCCTGAAGAAGAAGAAGAAGAAGAAGAAGAGGAAGAAGAAGAAGCGGTAGCCGCCTGAAAAGTCGAAGAACGCCCAGGAACATAAGTTAATGAATTTGCATGCAGCGCAATCCGGCGGCATGAGAGCACGACGTCCAGACACCAGGAGGCGACGCCGCGCTCGTCGATGACATGCGCTGCCACTGGGCCCAGGCTCGCCGCAGGCAGCCGCGGCGAGCCGTGCCGACTCAGGCGCTCCTGGCCGGGGGTCGGCGCCCCCCGCCGCGTATACCATTTCTTGCCACGGCCGCGGTGCTGAGCAGTTCATTGCCCTCCAGGTCTTGCAACTCCATCGCGCACTCAAGGCTGACCAAGTCTGCCCCCAATTGGATCGTTCGTCCGTGAACTGCCTGTGTGAAGCTGCGTGTTTGGTCCTCGTTGTCGAGGTGTACCCGCACTCTCCCTGCAGCCGCGGCTGGGTTGGACTTCGCCAGCCACGTCCAAGCCGGGCCGGTGGGCTGGGGTCCCGCGTCGGACTCCGTCAGCGCCAACCCAGAGCGGTGGCCGAGAACCTCCATGTGGACGACGGCCTGCGGGTTCGCACCCATGTGGCCGAGCACCTTGACCTCCGCCTCTGGCCTGACCAGCCCCATCTCTCCCCTGCTTTGCCGGGCTCCCCAGCGAACCGCCGCCAGCTGCTGAGGAGTCGCTGACGGGTACGCCCATGGACGTCCTCCCTGCGTGCGGTTGGAGGGTCGCCAGCGGAGCCGCAGCAGAGCCACCTCCGGATCCTCCTGCAAGATGTGTTTCACGCGTGCCTTCCACTGGTCTGCACTCCCCTCCTCTACGACCAGCGCCCGGTCTGAGGTGTAGGCCAGGAGCTCCTTGCAGTGCGGCCAAGCCTTGCCGAACGCCTCCGGCCCCACGACCTCGAGAATATGGCAGCCAGGGTCGGTGTAGAGATGGTGTACCAACTGCGCCAAACGATCCGCACTGCGATACCGCAGATGATGTGTATGCAGATCGATGTCGAGCCGGGAGACCCCCGCAAGGAAGTGGATGGGGATTCGGATCCGACCGGCCGTCTTGAGGTGAACAGGGCTTCTCTCCGAGTCGCCCAGGGTCGCCCGAAGCGGGGCGAGCCCTCGCCGCAGCGTCGCCAACGTGCTCCTAACGACTTCCATCGCCTCGTCCGCGTAGTAGGTTTCGCCCAACTCCATGGTGAAGAGACGGGCTGCCTCGACGAAGAGCTTCGGGAGCGAGACGGTGCCCCTGCCGGCGACTGTGGCGATGATGAGGCCGTGGTTGCCGACCACGGGCCCTGCCGAACCCGTGGACACCACCTGCAGTGGCCGTGGCCCACAGTGGCTGCAACTCGATCGACTTGACTAAGCCAGCCCATTGAGGGCCCATGAGCGGGCTCCAACACATGTCCATGAGAGAGTCCACATCTGCACTCTCCTGAAAGGTAGGAGTGGTGAACACAAGTCTGCATCAGAAGTCCGGAACATCCCCTCTATGACGCAGACGAGCCGATCGGAGGCGACCGAGGGCTGCTGTGTCCGTGGGTGCCCACAGAACGGCGCCTCCGGGCAAACTTTGCAAGACCGCCACGTCGCCCGAGTACAGCGTGGATGTTGTCTCACGGTCCTGCTGTACCCTGTTCTCCGTCGAGCCAGTGGCCGTCAGCACGCGGGAAAGCTGGGTGAGGCACTGTTTCCCTGATGCTCCGCCTGGGAGGGGGCAGAGCAGGTTGACAGCAACTGGGCCCAGCTCCATGTAGAGGGGCACTGGCCTCTTCTTGTGCCGCCCGCGCGCTTGGAGCAGGTCCGGGAGGGCTGTCAGGCATGCCTCGCGCGCTGCCTCATATCGTAGTTTCGCAGCCCAGAGCGCCTCCTTATCGCTCGCTGCCCAAGTGGAACCCGTCGCTATGTTGAGAAGCTGGGTCGCCCAGTCCGCGCTGCGAACGATGTCCTTCGCCGTGGGCTCAGACCCTTCCAGTGCCAGCCGGCCGAGCCGACGCCAGATATCAGGCTCGTCAGGGTCGAGTCCTACTTGCCAGAGAAGGCCACGCAGATCGCCCCAAGAACGCACCTCCGAACGAAGACGGATTGGGGTAGCCGAAGGGCCCGTCATGGCCTGGCCTGCAGGAGCTCGAAGTGGTGCAGGATGATCGTCTCGCAGTGCAGTGCGAACATGCCATTGCTGATCGTGATGTCGTCGTCAATCTCGATGGCGTCCAACGCAGCTAACTCCGTATCCAGCTCGATCTGCCGCACCTTCTGTCTTCCTATATGAGTGTCGTGATCACGAGACGTCGCTGGTGTCGTGTTGTGCATCCTTACAATCGCGTAGGCCCACGCTGTGTAGAATTCCCAGCTGTCGTCGCACTCTCATTTGTTTGTCCACCGAGGTGTATCCACCCCTGCGGTTTGGTGCTTTGTCTGGGATTCTACATCAGCGTTATTATTGTCCAACGGTCCGTCGGACACTGGGCTTCTTGGGCAGCCCATCGCCGTACCCACTGACTGTACATGTGCACTACTTTTGGCATAGGGTGTTGCCGCATCAAGTCTTCCGCCCTGCGAGTGCTCCTGCGGACGAATCCAGACCATATTCTACTTCGTGGTCAGATGAAAAAGCCGTGATGCTGCAAACACACATCGCGTTCGCTGGAGACGTCAAATGATCTAGCATGGGATGGGTTGCTGCTCTGTGTGTTCGCGTCCGAGGTTTCGCTAGCTGGTTGTGCTTCTGCTGCAGTTCTACCCATGCGCCTCTGTGATCTAACTAATTGCAAGAGCAGATCGGTCATTGTCCCAAGTCTCCGCGCCGCACAGCATAATGAGAATCACTCTGCCCTGGTAGAGCCGCAGTCGGCGCTTCGATGGGGAATGTATCTTCGTGATCTCTTGTCTGTAGATTGTAAGGCATGCCCCCCCAAGCTTGAATGCGTCGCGTGATCTGAGCCGTTGGGGTGTTCTCATGAGGACGAGGAGGAGGAGGTCATAATGAAGAAGAGTAGGAGGGGGCCCTCGCTCGACTCGATGATCACGGGGCTCGCCTCGATGATCACGGGTCTGCACTATCTCTGCAGATGGCCCTAGTCTGCTCCCTGCGGCTGTCAAACGGAGCTCCTCTGCTACTGGTCCTGCTCTGGTCCTCTTGCTCCTCCTCGTCCTCCTCCTATCATGTTGCTCATCTCGTCGGCCACCAGGCGTGTCAGTAGGACGGGCCGGGCGTTTCGCCTGAGACCCCTCACCACTTATGATCATGAAGCTTGGCAATTCCAACGGCTACTCGGATTGAGCGCTTTCGAAATGCGGCTATCGCCTCAGCGCCACGCAAATTCGTCATTACGGGCATCCAAACAATCGCACAGATGGAGAGCGCGTGGCGTTCGAGATGTGGCTCTCGCCTAAGCGCCGCGCACACTTTGCAAAAACTTCCGACGGCTACAAAAATTCCGGTTCCTGCAGTTCCGGCGCTTAGCGCTACACTTTGTGTCCTATCTCGCAGGGCTCCCTCCAGAAAGCACGAGGCAAATCCTTTTTAAAACGGAACTCTTGCCTGAAAGACAGGCCCGCAGGGCACTCGTCTTTAATGAGCAACTATGCCTGTATTGCAGCATCGCTGATGCATCCTTGCTTGAATATGGTCCTCCTCATCGTCCCCCTTCCACTCCCTCTGTTACCATCTGCATGCGTCTACCTACTTCCCTGATCGTGTGCCACGATCGCCCCCCAAAAAGGGGGCAAGAGGGATGAGAAGGCGCTGGCCTGCTGCAAACGCCGTGTACTTCTGCTCGAATACATTCTGAATGAAGAGGGGCGTCGCAACGCTGTCATCGCACATCCCATCCTGCCACACAACCTGGGGCCGGGGTGACATGCCTTCAGACATGCTGGAATTCTGCTAAGCGCTGCAATACCCTAGGCCCGACCGATCTTCTTCCACCCGCTCCCTGCTCTTGTTTGGGTCGATTGCCCAAGCATTCAACCAGGTCGCGACGCACAGTCCTTCTCTGGATGTCCACGACTTGGTACACATACCCGAATGCCCCCCCTACGACCTGAGCACAGAAGCGTGCAAACACACGGAACTCAGACGGGCCACCTCCCAGCCAGAGGGACCACGAACCCCTCCATCAGTAAACCCGAGCTGAGGAAGGAGCGACGACGGAGAAAGGCGGCCGTGAGGGAGTCGGCACGCGGAAGCTCTCGGAGGTAGCGCACCCGCCCTGGGAGGGGGCCCAAGAATCGCCAGCCAACGCTCTTTTAGTACCACTGCCCCCACGTGGTGGAAGGCATCTGAGCTCGCTGCACGCCCACCCGGCCAAACACCCCTCAACGGAGACTCTCTCCCCCTCGCTGCCCGCCGTTACCACTAGAAACGCCAAAGACAACCCGACGCGGCTACCACCCACACGTCCTGCCCTCATTTCCGACCGCTGTGCGCCCACTCTGCCAAGCACTCGGAGCACCTGCATATCAAGCGGACATGGATGCAATGTGCTCACGCCAGGCCCTCAAGGCCCCACTACGCAGAAACGAAACAAGCAAAAACGTTCCGTAGAACGACCAGGTTAAGCAGGGGGGGTGCGGGGGGGGACGCGGAGGACCACAAGGAGGAGCAGGAGGGGGAGAAAAGAGGGCAGGAGATGAGCAGGAGGGGGAGAGAGGGGCGGGAAAGGGCAGGAGAAAAGGAGGGCGAAGAGGCGGGAAAACAACAGCTGCACGGGCGATGATAACCGCAGCCCAAGCAGAACCTGACCCTGTCCTATCATTATCCTGAGCCTCTATTCTGCTCCACCTCCTCCCTTATCATTCCTCCTCCTCCTCCTCCTCATCATCATCATCATCATCCATCTCCTCTTCCTCGCCCTTCTCCCCCAACTCCTCCTCTCTTCCCTCTTATCTTCCTCCCCTGTAAGACCCCACACACAAAGTACATACCTTCAACTCGTAGCCGGGGAGGAGATGTGGATGTTGGTTGATCTCATCCAGCATAATCTCGCCACCTCAGAACGTGCAAAGAGGGCGAGAGGCCTGGAGAGGACGAAAAGCAGGGAGGCTAGGAGACTTGAGGAACCAGGATGAAAACTGATCCTGGCAAAATACTCAACAGCATGCAGTTGCAAACACCTCTCCCTCTGGGCCCACGAAGCGCTTGAGGGGTGGGACTAAGTGGGCGGGGGGCGTGCGCCCCCATGCGTCTGCGCCCGCTGCTACCGTAGGTGGAGCTGTCTGTAGGGCCAAACAACACGCACGTGTACAACGAAATAAGCGGGGGGATCCCACGCGTCTGCGCCTACTAAAACAATACGTCAAGCTCGTTGTGGGACAATGAAACGTGTAAGTGGTGCGCCGAAGCAGACGCGGGGGGGCACATGCGTCTGCGCCCGCTGGGACCGTAGGTTGAGCTCCCTATGGTGCGCCGGCATGGACGAGTGACACCATGCGTTTGCGCACACTGAGACCGTAGGTGGAGCTATCTCCACATGGGGCCACGAAAAAGGTGAGGGGTGTGCCGAAGTTGGCAGGAGGGAACCCATGCGTCTGCGCCCACTGTGACCACACGTTGGGCTATCTTATGGGGGCCCCCTGTGCGAGTGATGCTGAGGTGGGCACGCGAAAAGCAGAGGTAGGAAGGAGGAGGGGGAGGAGGCGCTGGAAGGAGTGACGCGGGGTGCTGCGAATTCAAAACGAGCGCACAACACCAACACCACACACCACAGGATACTTGGGAATCAGATAGGGAGGTGTCAGGGAGAGAAAATACATGAAGAGGCCGCTGAGACGAGGTATGGTTTGGCGAGGCTCGAAGTAAAATCTTGCAGGCTTCTCGGGACCGTACTGGGGTCAGTCGGCCAGCGCAGCTCACGGCTCGAAGAACGTCGATCCCCTGTGATGAAAAATAGCCTGGCGAAGGACCAAATCAAATGCATTTGTAGGAACTGACGTTGCAGGTATCGCCTTCAGGGGATCTCCTCGTAGGCCATGAAGCATACCAAGGGTGAGCCAATGTGGGGCGGGGCCGCCATGTGGGCGCTGCCACTGGTGCTCTAGGCGCAACCCACTACGGGGTCGCGAAGCGTGCGAGGGGTGCGCCGCCATGGGGCGGGGCCGCCACTGGGGCCTTCGGTGGAGCCCCCATATTGGGCAACGAACCGCTGTACTGGGCGGGGGGAAGCGCATGCGAACACCGCCATTGGGGCCTTCGGTAAAGCCCCCTATGGGGCCACGAAACGCTTCACTGTGTGGGGGAAAACGCGTGCGAACGCCGCCACTGGTGCCTTCGGTGTAACTCCCTATGGGGCCACGAAACGCTGTACTGGGCGGGGGAAACGCATGCGAACATCGCCACTGGTACCTTCGGTGGAGCTCCTTATGAGGCCACGAAACGCTGTACTGGGCGGGGGGACCGCATGCAAGCTCAGCCACTGGGGCCTTCGGTAAAGCCCCCTATGGGGCCACGAAACGCAGTACTGGGTGGGAGGCACCGCATGCGAGCTCAGCCAATGGGGCCTTCGGTGGAGCTCCCTAAAGGCCACGAAACGCTGTACTGGGTGGGGGGAACCGCATGCGAACTCAGCCACTGGGGCCTCCGGTGGAGCTGTCTATGGGACCACGAAACGCTGTACTAGGTGGGGGAAACCACATGCGAGCTCAGCCACTGGGACCTTCGGTGGGGCTCCCTAGGGGGCCACGAAACGCTATACTGGGTGGGCGGGGGAAGCCCATGCAAGCTCAGCCACTGTGGGGCCTTCGGTGGAGCCCCCTATGGGGCCACAAAACGCTGCACTGGGTGGGGGGAACCGCATGCGAGCTCAGCCATTGGGACCTTCGGAGGAGCTCTCTATGGGGCCACGAAACGCTGTACTGGGCGGGGGCCACCGCATGCGAGCTCAGCCACTGGTGCCTTCGGTGGAGCCCCCTATGGGGCCACGAAACGCTGTACTGGGTGGGGGAACCGCATGCGAGCTCAGCCACTGGACTTCGGTGGAGCTACTGAAGGGGCCACGAAACGCGGTACTGGGCGGGGGAAACGCATACTGATGAGGCAAACATGCGGGTGGCAGAGGCGGAGATAGGAGGAGGAGGAAGAAGATGAGAAGGGCGGGAGGTGAGGGATGCGGGGGGCTGTCTCTTCAAAACGAGGACCCAACACCACTGGACGGTTGAAAAAAAATGTCAACACTCTGTCATCACTATTATCAAGAAGGTATTCCTGGTGTCAGGCGCTGGTGCACATGGAAGCTCCACCATGACAAATGGGTTTGGAGAGGACTTTTTCCGAATTGATCCGACCGATCGGTTCGACTCGACTCAATCGGATCATCCGCCTTACACAACATGTCTCCTTGAGGTGTGCGTGTATGCTTTTGTACCACGCATCACTGCAGGTCGGATTGGGTGTGGCGTCGCCTCGGTCAGCCTCATGGCGCCTCGCGTCGTGACACCCTCCCCCACGCACGCAGGAGACGCTCATATACTTAGGCCTTGCAGAAAACTTCAAGTGTTCGAAGGGGTATGCCGACATTGGCGGCGCGGACGCATGCGAACCGCACCATTGGGGCCTTGGGTGGCCCTCCCAATGTGGAAACTTGCTGCGCGGACGCATGCGAACTGGGGCAGTCGGTGGAGCTCCCTTTGGGACCACAACACGTGTGACGGGTGTACCGACATGGGTGGGTCGGAAGCATACGGCCGACGCCACTGGGGACTTGGGTGGAGCTCCCTATGGGGCCACGAAACGTGCGAGGGGCGTGCCGAAATGGTTGGCATGCGGAGGACAGAGGCAGGGGATGAAGCGAGATTGGCGAGGAGGAGAGGAGACGCGGGGAGCGTCTCTTCAAAACGAGGACCGAACACCACAGGATGGTCGGGAAACACTCGAAGACAGCTCAGTCGAGGGGACCCTCGGGCGAAGAGCGGCTTCTATCAAGCTGCACGGCCGCTCGGATAGTGGCGGCCTTCCGCCGAATTCTGCCGATGAATGACATCAACCTCCTGACCCCCCGAAGGCGGGGCCCTTTCTGGAACGTGGAACGCTATCCATGAATGGAGTTGGCCCCTCACGAGGGTGAACGCGGCTGGCCGCGTCCCAGTTTGGCGGCCGAGCAAAGCGCCCACGCGCGCCGATATGCCGACATCCCACTCGCCGCCGGTGAAGGGCAATAGTGCAGTCAGCCATATCTCGTGACCATCGTGATGTCCAGTGCCTGGCAAATTGGAGGAGCAGGCAGAAGAGTAGTCACAGCTAGGGGAAGGCAGCCACGCATCCACGTATCACCATCACCACCATCGTCACTGCCGTCGTCGTCCTCCTCCTCAGCCTCATCAACGTAATCATCAGCATTACCAACAAACAGTACCATCATCATATCATCAAAAGTAACAACAAAAAACAATAATAACATAAAAAAACAACAGCAGCAACAACAACAACAACAACAACAACAACAACAACAACAACAACAACAATCAGTTCAAGACTGTTCGCTCCTATCTGCTCACATGCCAATCAATGTATATCCCAAACCCTCGGTACCCGCCCTCGTCGTCTTCGATCGTACCCCCTTGGGGGCATTTCTTCCTTACCTGCCACGTGCATTTGGTGCAGCCCCTAAAGCAAGGGAAGAAAAGACGGGTGGAAGGGGGAGGGACAAGAATAGAGCACGAGAGAAATTAACAGGGGGGGCAAGGAGCAGAAAACAAATGGTAGAACCAGACGGGCAAGTCGGGTGGGCAGACCCATAGCGGGCAATTCGGGAAGGCGGGCCCCGGCGACCAGGTCGAGCAGGCGGGTTGCTGAAGCGTGGGTCCTGCATGCATCGCGAAGAAGTCTCGAGCGATAGCGCGATTCGTATGCAAATTGTAAGGAAGTCCTGCGCGAGAGCGCGATTTGGGAATAAATGGTGAGGAACTCTCAGACGGGAGACGTTGTTGTTGTTGTTGTATGTAAACCGCGGGCCAGGGACACAGTTTGAGCCGAGTGACTTTCCCTGGTAGAAAACAGGATGCGAGCCCCGGGGAAAGCACTTCAATTGAAACATACAATGGTGGCCGGGCCCCGGCAAGCGGCGGGGCGGCCGCGGACCATCGGCCTGGCCAGCGGCAGCGCTGATCGGCGGCAACCCGACCCCAAGAGAGACGGACAGGGGGCCGTCCACGACGACGACGACGACGACGACGGCGAGCGAAAGCGAAAGCGAGAGCGAGAGCGAGAGCGAGAGCGACAGCGGGGCCACAAGGGTAGGAAGGGGGCCACGAAGGGCGACAGCGCGGCCACGAAGGGCATGCGTATGGGGCCACGACGGGCGCGAACGAGCGGGGGCCACGAAGGGCATACGTATATTGTGCCGCAAAGAGCAAGGACGGCGCCACTGAGGGCAGCAACGGGGCCACGAAGGGCAGCGAGGGGGCCACGGGGGGCAGCAGCCGGGCCACGAGGCGCATGCACATGGGGCCACGACGGGCGCGAACACGCGGGGGCCACGAAGAGCGTACATACATGGGGGGGGCCACGAAGGGCAGCGAAGGGGCCACGAAGGGCTGCAACGAGGCCACGAATGGCAGCGAGGGGGCCACGAAGGGGTGCAACGGTACCACGATAGCGAGGCGGCCATGAAGGGCTGCAACGGGGCCACGGAGGGCAGCAAGGGGGCCACGAAGGGCTGCAATGGGGGCACGAAGAGCAGCGAGGAGGCTACCAAGGGCTGCAACGGGGCCACGAAGAGCAGCGAGGGGACCACGAAGGGCTGCAACGGGTCCACGAAAGGCAGCGAGGGGCCACGAAGGGCTGTAACGGGGCCACGAAGGGCAGCGAGATCCCGATTCCTAAGTAAACAGTGAGGAAGTCCTAGGCGTGAGCGCGACTCATGGGTGCCTGAGTGTCGGGAGCGCGGCGCTTGAGTAAATTGCGGGGAATTCCAACGCAGGAGCGCGATTCTTGAGTAAATTGCAAGCAAATCCCCAGCGAGAGCGCGACTGCAGACTCCTGAGTAAAATGCGAGGAAACCTCAGACGAGAGCGGGGGTCCTGGCTCAATTGTGAAGAAAATTCCAGCGAGAGCCCTCGTTGTTGCAATCCGGGGGCCAACATCCCAGTTTGAGATTTTCCCTGATGAAAAACCGGATGCGAGCACTGGTGGAAGCACTTCGATTGAAAAAACACCATGGTCACCCGAGGAAGGGGGATCAAAAATACATTATTCAGTCATGAGAGCTCAACAGCAGCAGCACCAATAACAACAACACACCAACAACGACAGCAGCACAAACAACAACAACAACAACAACAACAACAACAACAACAACCACAACAACAACAGCAGCAGCAACAACAACAACGGCAGCAGCAACACCAACGACAACTACAATCAGTTTAAGACTGTTCACTCTTACCTGCTCGCGTGCCATTCAATACGTATATCCTGAACACTCGATACCCGCCCTCTTTGTCTTCGATCGTAGCCCCTTGGGGGTGATATCTCGCACCTGCAAGGCGTATTACATGCAGCCCCTGAGGTAGGGGAAGAGAGGACGGATGGAAGGAAGGGACAAGGGGGAGGGAGGAGGATGGAGCACGAGAGTGAGTAGCAGGAGGGGGACCAGGAGCAGAAAACACGCTGCAGAACCAGACGGGCAGACCGGGCGGGTAGACCCTAACGGGCGGGTCGGGAAGACGGGCCCAGGCGGCCAGGTCGAGCAGGCGGGCTGCTAAAGCGTGCGTCCTGCATGAATCGCGAGGATGTCTCGAGCGATAACGCGATTCCCAAGTAAATCGTGAGGGAACCCACAGCGAGAGCGCGGCGTCTGCCAGCATAAAACAAAACAAAGTCTCGAGCAGGAACGCCGATGTGTTGGGACGGCGGTTGTCGGCGGCGAAAAGGAACACCGCCTTGAGAAAGAAGGGAAGAACTCTCGAGCTGGAGCCGTGGTTTTGTCGGGACGGAGGCTGCCGGCGGCGAGGAACAGCACCGTCCGGAGGAAAAAGGGAGGAAGCCTCGAGCGGGAGCGAAGTCCTTGCTGGGAGCGGCGCCAAATCAAAAGAGAGTATCCAGCGTAAAACGGGAAGTCTCGGGCGGGAGCGCTGGTTGTCGGGACGGCGGTTTTCGGCGGCGAGGAGCACCGCCTCGAGTAAAAAAGGGAGAAAGTCTCAAGCGGGAGCGTTGTTGTTGCTGGGGGCGGCGCCGATGAGAGAAAGAGTAGCGCGCCAGTCCAAGGTAAAACGGAAGGAAGTCTCGAGCGGTATCGCTGGTTCTGTTGGGACGGCGGCTTCCCGGTCACCATCGCGCTCGGCGCATTTCACATTGCGGCGAGCAAGAGCACCGGCCCTGAGCAAAAAAGGAGGAAGTCTCGAGCGGGAGCGTTGTTGTTGTTGGGAGGCCAGTTTTGGCGCCCCCAAAAAACCGCTCGAGCGTGAGCCTCATTTTCAATTTCAATGAAAATGTAGCCAGCGCCGAGGCGAGAGCGTCAAAGCGCCTGGGGGGGTCCAACAATAATCATTGCTTAATAATTAACACTCAGCAACAACAACAACAGCAACAACAACAACAACAACAACAACACCAACAGCAACAACAACAACAACAACAACAACAACAACAACAACAACAACAACAACAACAACAAGACCAACAACAACAACAACAACAACAGCAACAACAACAACGACGACGATGACGACGACCACGACGACGACGACGACGACGACGACGACAACGACAGCAACAACAACAACAACAATAATTTTAAGACTGTTCGCCCTTATATGCTCGACTGTCCAATAACGCGTATTTCCCAAACCCTCGATACCCGCCCTCTTCGTCTTCGATCGAACCCCTTTTGGGGGGTATACCTTTCTTCCCTGCAGGCCAGGCCCCGGCAAGCGGCGGGGCGGCCGCGGACCGTCGGCCTGGCCAGCGGCAGCGCTGATCGGCGGGGCGGCCGTGGACGGTCGACCCGACCCCAAGAGGGACGGACAGGGGATCGACCACGACGACGACGACGACGACGACGACGACGACGACGACGACGACGACGACGACGTCGAAGACACGGCGACGACGACGACGGCAACGACGAGCGAAAGCAAAAGCGAGAAAAAACGACAGCAAAGCCACGAAGGGCACGAAGTAGGCCACGAAGGGCGACAGCGGGAACACGAAGGGAATGCGTATGGGGCCACGAAGAGCGCGAACGAGCGGGGGCAACGAAGTGCAGATAATGTGGGGCCACAGAAGGCAACTATGGGGCCACTGAGGGTAGCAACTGGGCCACGCAGGACAGTGAGGGGGACACAAATGGCGACAGCGGGGCCACGAAGGGCATGCACATAAAGCCACAACGGGCGCGACTCCTGGGTGCCTGGGTGTCGGGAGCGCGGCGCTTGGGCAAATTGCAAGAAATTCCAACGCAAGGCCATTCGTCAGTAAGTTGCAACCAAGTCTCCAGCGAGAGCGCGACTCCAAGGCGCCGGAAGAGCGATTCCTGAATAAATTGTAAGGAAGTCCCAAGCGAGAGCGCGATTCCTGAATAAAATGCGAGGAAGTCTCGGGCGGGAGCGGGGGTCCTGGCTAAATTGTAAGGAAGTCTCAGGCGGGAGCCGTTGCTGTTGTAACCGGGGGGCCGGGGGCCCAGTTTGAGCATCAAGACTTTCCTGTCAAAGAACAGGGTGCGATCGTCGAGGGGCACACTTTGATTGAGACAAAACAGTATGCACCGGTGGGGGGATCAACAATAATTATTCTTCAGAAATGAGAATTCAACAACAGCAACAAAAAAATACACAACAACAACAACAACAACAACAACAACAACAACAACAACAACAACAACAACAACAACAACTACAACTACAACAACAACAACAACAACAACAACAGCAGCAGCAGCAGCAACAATAACAACAAGAATAACAATAACAATAACAGCAACAACAGCAACAACAGCAGCAACAACAACAATCATGAGAAGGCTGTTCCGGCTTACCTGCTCGCGTGCCATTCATCACGTATATCCCAAACCCTCGGTGCCCTCCCTTTTCGACGTCGATCGTACCCCGCTGGGGGTATCTGTTCCTTACCTGCCGCGAGTAATTGGTGCAGCCCCTGAAACAGGGGAAGAGAGGACGGATGGAAGGGGGAGCGAGACGGATGGAGCAAGGGATTAGCAGGATGGGGGCTAGGAGCAGGAAACACGTGGCAGAACCAGACGGGCCGATCGGGCGGGTAGACCCTAACGGGCGGGTCAGGAAGGCGGGCCCAAGCGGCCAGGTCGAGTAGGCGAGTTGCTGAAGCGTGAGTACTGCATGAATCGCGCGGAGAGCTCGAGCGATAGCGAGACTCCCAAGTAAATCGTGAGAAAAAGCCAAAGCGAGAGCGTGATTCATGTGTCGAGGGCGCGGCGTCTTAATAAATTGCGAGGAAATCCTAAGCAAGAGCGCGATTCCTGCATAAATTGTATGGAAGTCCCGCGCGGGAGCGCGATTTGGGAATAAACTGTGAGGAAATATCAGGCGGGAGCCGTTGTTGTCGCTGTTGTTGTAAACCAGAGGCCAGGGACGCAGTTGGGTGACACCAAGCTTTCTCTGATACAAAGCCGGGTGCGAGGCCCGAGGGGGGGGCACTTCAACTGACAAAATACAATGGTTACTGGAGAAGGGGGATCAACAATAATTATTCTTGAGGCATAAGAACTCAAGAACATCGTCAGTGCAGAGGTCATCGGCGTCGCCTATATCCTCACCAGCATTAGCAGCAGCAGCTGCATCATCATCATCATCAGCATCATCATCATCATCAGCAGCATCATCATCATCATCAGCATCACCATCATCACCATCGTCAACATCATCAGCATCATCATCAGCATCAGCATCATCATCCTAATTTCATAATAATCATCATAATCATCATCGTTGTCGTCGGTGGCGTCGATGTCGTCAGCAGCATCATCAGCATCAGCATCATGGTCATTGCCATCGTCATCATCATCAGCATCATGATCACCATCCTCATCCTCAGCAGCATCAGCAGCATCATCAGCGTCAGCATCATCTGCATCAGCAGCAGCATCAGCATCCTTATCATCAGCACCAGCGTCATCATCATCATCAACAGCAGCATCATCATCCTCATCATCAGAAGCATCATCAAAATCATCAGCATCATCAGCAGCAGCAGCATCTCCTCCTCCTCCTCGTCGTCGTCGAGCGCGAGTCTGGCGGGTCACTGGAAGGGCAGACGTCATCATAGATGCTTGGCCGACGAGCCTCCATACCAGAAATAGACATCATCCATGGCGCGGCATCGAAGCGATGCCAAAACGCGATCGTGCCAGAGCTGAGATGAGGGAGTTGGACAGCGATGTGGACGTACTGCGTGAAACGGTCACAAATCATCACAGCCTGGAAAGGCCTAGATGTAAGACACATCCGTTCCCCCTCCTCCCCAAACGGACCGATGACTAGCCGAAAACTGATACTAAAAGACCAAACACAGACCTAAGACAGCTTAACTAAAAAGTATAATTGCGTAGCGAAAAGTGCGAAAAGCACAACCTTAGCTGAACGAAGTGCAGCTATAAACACTGTGAGGAGTGTGCCAGAATGGGCACGAGGGCGCCATGCAAGCACGCCCGCTGGGGCCATGGACGGAGCTCCCTGTGGGCCACGACACGCGTGAATGGTGTGCCGAAACGGGCGCGGGGACGGCACGCCCATCGCGGCCATAAAAAAGTGGAGCCCCCTGTGGACCACAATACGTGTAAGAGGTGTGTCGACACGGGCGCGGGGACGCCATGCGAGCACGCCCACTGGAGACAGAAATAGAGCTCCTCGTGGAGGCAGGAGCCGCGTGGGAGGCGTGCCCACAGGAGTGCAGCAAAAGCAGCAGGAGCGGCAGCAATGGGAGAAGGGAGGAGAAGTGGAGGAGTCGAGGAGAGGAGGGAGGAGGGAGGAGGGAGGAGGTGGAGGAGGGGGGAGGATGGGAGGAGTGGAGGAGGTGGGGCGCGGCGCTGCGAATTCAAAACGAGGACCCAACACCCAGGAGGGTTGGAGGGGGGGGGGGGGGGAAAACGAAAGCAAAAAAAATAAACAACAACAACAACAAAAAAGGCGCAACCAGGACACCCCAACATTGACCAGGGAAAAGTCCCAGGGTCCCAGCACCCCGCAAGATGGTCCCATGACGCCCAAGGGCCCCCCAGCGGCCCCCGAGGCATCGCGACAGGCACGCAACGGCACGGCCGCGCCATGCTGAAGCGTTGCTACGCCAAGGGGGAGGCGGATATGCGCGGCAACGCAACCAGAGAATCGATGCGTCGTCAATCTGCCGTCTGGGGAGCCCCTGGGAGAGTGGTTCCTGCATCGCCCTCCTGGCAAGGGGAGAAAGAGACCAGGCTTGAGATGGGGGCTGTGTGAAGGGCGCGCGATGGGCTTCTTGTTCTCCCACCCTCCTCCGCAGGGGTGGAGCGCAGAGCTGGCGCGGGTCCGCCGCGCCTGTGCCCAAGTGACCTGATGCCACCCCACATACTGCGAGTGCTGCCCAGGTTAGTCGCAGAGGAGCCTGGGCTTCACGGGGGGATAGGCGTGGAGAGAGGAAGGGATGGACAGAGATGAAGGGTCAAGGAGGGAGTGGTGCGAGGTAGGGAGGGAGCTTGGGGCGAGGAAATGAGAATGGAGATGGGGATGACGATAGCGGTGGCGATGGGGACGGAGATGGGCACGGGAACGGGAACGTGGACATGGCTGAGTATGGCCACAGAGAGCGGAGGCCAAGGCTGGGGAGGAGCCGGGGGTACTGACATCCCCCTCGCATCACCTTCGTCGCGCTCGTGGACACGGTCAGGGGTGATGGGGGCGAGGGTGAGCCACCGACCATCAGGAGCAGGCAGGGGAGAGAAGGGGAAGGAAGGGAATACGGGGGAAGGACAGTAGAGCGGGAGGGAAAACGCACCGACCGAAATCATCTTCACATCTCGATGCGCACCATCAATGCTAGCCGGCCGCTCTGAGGCTGATCGGGCGGCGCGTGCCTTCCGCAGGGAGGACCTCTTCCTTCTCCACTACTCGTCAATCCTCCTGTTGTGGTTGATCTTGCGCCCCTCTCCGCCAATTCCCTCTCACCCTCTTCTCTCCTTCCCTCCCTCGGACTTGGCACCTCGTCCCGTTGCTTTGGCGCTCGGCGCGTGGGCGCCGAAGGCAGGGGAACTTCGCCTCGCGTGTCGAGCCTCGTGCATTCATACTCACGCGCAGAGGGGCCGTTACTCTTGTAGTTCTCGGCCCATCCCTCCGAACGCCTGCCTTATTCTGGCTTCATCCCCCTCCCCCTCCTCCTCCTCCTCCTCCTCCTCCTCCTCTCCTCCTCCTCCTCCTCCTCCTCATTCCTCCTTCCTCCTCCTCCCTCCTCCTCCTCCGCCCGCCTCCTCCTCCTCCTCCTCCTCCTCCTCTTCCCCCTCTCCTCCCCTCTCCTCCCTCTCCTCCGTCTCCTCCTCTCCTCCCTCCTCCTCCTCCCCTCCTCCTCACTCCTCCTCCTCCTCCTCCTCCTCCTCCTCCGCCTCCTCCTCCACCTCGTCCTCATCCTCCTCCTCCTCCTCCGAGCTTCGGCGTCGCCAGCCAGCACGGTTTGATCTGATGTGTTATGTTTTTGGTTATGAGTTCACGTCATCCGGACCCCTGGAGCGCGAGGAAATGAGGCGCCCAATCGCGCCTCTTAACGTTGTTTCAAGGAATTCGGCGAAGCGCGGATTCCCAAAAACTCTTCGTAACAGCCGCCTGGGAGTTCCTTGCAAACTCGGCTCCGAGCTCCTCTAAAGAAGGTCCAAACGCAGGCTCTGTCCCCCCCGCCTTCTCAAGTGTTATTTAATCGCTTCGCTCATTCCGCCGGCCCTGGAGCGCTATTTGGGGCCTCTTGGGGCCGTCTTGGGGGCTTCTTGGGGGCTTCTTGGGAGCGTCTTGGGGCTCCTTGGCGGCGTATTGGGCTCCCCTGGGGCCTCTTGGGGGGCTCTAGGGGGCCCCTTGGGGCGGGAGGGGGGGTAGTCGTTGGCAGCCCCCCCCTCGGAGGCCACGATCCTAGTGAGGTGTGGCGAAAATTTGCCTCCCCCCTGGGGATCGCTCGGGGGTCAGCCGGGGATCGGCCGGGGTACTTTTCGTCCGGGGCCCCCAGGAGCCGCCCCGCGCGCGAACTAGAAATATTGTTAAGTAGTTACCGGAGATCTTAGCACGCCTCTGGCCCGTTTGGCTGGCGAGTTCACTGGGGAACGCTTCGAGGGCGAGCAGCATGATGAAGTAGGACGAGGGGGGAGCAGGGAAAGGGGGTGGAAAGGAATAGTGGGAAGGATAAGGAGGAATGGGAGGAGGAAGACGAGGCGGAGGGGGCGGAGGAGGAGGAGGAGGAGGACGAGGAGGAGGAGGAGGAGGACGAGGAGGAGGAGGAGGAGGAGGAAGAGGAAGAGGAAGAGGAGGAGGAGGTTGTCTTGTGCTGTCACCCTTGCTGTCCTCGTTCGCTGCGTTCGCGTTCGTGTGGCTCCGTCTTCCTTCCTCCTCCCTGCTGGCTGCCGCCCAGGCGGCCTCGCGCTGGCTCCTTCCTGGAATTGAGCCCCTCCCATCGGCTGGCCTCCTCCCGCTTTCTTTTCGTGTCGCGCTCCTGGGGGACTGCCGTTCGCCCCTCCTCCTCCTCCTCCTCC